CACTCCGAGTAACATCACAAACATATTATTCACCTGAGTACACAACACCAACACAGAAAAAAATCATATTACAAGAATACATTGGTATTGAAGGAACTAGATACTGTTCCGAAATATCACTTACTCGAACCGTCCTGACCGCGTAGCTCAGTTGGAAGAGCATTGGGCTAGTATTCCAAAGGTCGTAGGTTCGAATCCCACCGTGGCCGGGCATATTTTTCAAGCTCGCCCGGTGTGGATATGCACTCAGAGTAACATCACAAACATAGTATAGTTATGGTTAGCCAAACGCTCTTTAAATGTAGTTGATGTCATGCCAATATAATTCATGATCGTGTTAGGGTTGCTTGTTGTGACTGTTGCTTTGTATACTATGTCCTTAGTCATGCATTGTTTCTAAAGTGGGCATATTGCGTTTTTCGAAAAACTGCAATTGACAGTGCCCTTGCCCTGTGCCTTGTTCTTCCTAGCTATATGTGCATTGTGCTTAGTGATTATAGACTTAACATTGCTCATGCAGCTATAACTTACTTTTACTGTATTTCTGTTAAAAATCTTATGCAGCTTGTGGTGCGAAGGAAAGTGCTTGTCGATAAGGTTAAGAAAATTGCGCCCTATATTAGTGCTGACATTCATGCTAACTGGTGGGTTGAACCAAATGATATTACGTTGCCTATTTCTGCGTGCTTGTTGTGGTGCGTGTTGAGTGTAGTTAAGATCATGATTAAAGTTGTTATGGTCAAGTGCGTTTTGGACCATAGCAACTTTAATCATGACCTTAGTATTGGCATCACTATTTGCATAATTTGTAAATGTTTTATGCATTTAGAAGCACTGTCAAGCAAGACATTGAACAGTCCACGTGCCGTACACTTCATTTTAATTGTTGTCATTGTCAAATTGAATTGGTCCTAAAGCCCGTGTGTATATGCACAAGGATTATGACAAATCATTAAATCTTTCTAACTAAATACGGCAAACACTATGTGTTCCCATTGCCCTTTTCGCGCTCAGAGTTTAAGGTTTTAGCTGTATATATATATATATATATTTATTTATATATTTATATATTTATGTATGTGTGTGTATATTTGCTTCATATGGCAGACGTTGTCAATGCTTAAAAAACCACAAATACTCTTTATAATAAATTCACTGCTACGTCAATTCATCTTCGTCTGGTCCAAACTTGAACACCTCTGCAGCTTTCTTTCTGTTGAAAAGGATCATAAGAAAACATAAAAATGGGTCAATTTCCAAATCAACCCAATTGTAACTATAATCCTAATCTCAATCCTAAGTGCCAACCCTAACCCTCTTATCTAAATTCTCCTAATTTTAACCCGTTAATCCCAAACCCGGCCTAATCGTTTTGACATTATTTTGAGAATATGGTAAGTCACCGATGAAAATGATTATCTTGTAAACATCCGCTTGTTGGCTCATTGACCT